TCTACCATTTAAGACAAAGGTTCAAAGATCTTGAAAACAAGATTCACATGACCACTTCCAAATTATGGGCAATTACACCCTAGGCACATCACATCTTTGAAACAAACCCCCAAAGGCTGGTTCTCACCTTCACTCAGCCTGTTACTTTGTTTAACAGTAACTTGTCAGCATGAGGAGAGGGGGGCTAATTTACATATGGCCCCAGTGCTTCAGTGTCCCTCTTTAATTACGAAATCAGTTAAGTGATTTTGCTTCTAGTTATGAGAACTAAATTGAAAATCCTTGCATTGCTATCATCCATCTTTCACAAATCTCATATCCTTTCTTCTCTCTTCTTCCACTCCCAGTTTCAGATGCATATCATCATTTGGTACCAAGAAATCCTAAGTTCCAGTTCAGTATTTCCTTTTTCTTTTCCAGATAAATTTTTTGGTTTAAAGCAAACATTTCAATCTCCTAGCCAAGAGGGTAAGTAAATGACTTAAGTTCAATTAGGAAGAATTAGTTGTCATTTAAAGAAACATATTTCCTAAACATTTTCCTTTTCTTCCATAATAAAAAATTAACAAGTCGGGATTGGCTTACAAGTAAGAAATACAATAGCAGGAGAAAATGAACTTTGACTACACAAGTTGTGCCTGCATTTATAGGCAGAGATTGCAGAGAAAAAGAATTAAAGTCAAATTGTAGCCAAGATCAACAACGTTTAGGTGATGATATGCTGAAAGAAATGCAATAACTGTTTCAACAATCAACTCTCATTTTGAAAACATGGAGACAACTCATTGTTGAGGTTCACATGATTATTTGTGAAAAAGTTGTGGAAGGAATGAATAAATCCCAATGCAGAAAAATAAAGTGTAAGATATATATATATATATATATATAATGTAGAGAGATCCATTTACACACATATCTTATACACTAACACAAAATCTCAACCATTCATCTCTTCACTTCCAATGGTTGAGATTTATCATGATTTTTTGGATAAAAAAGACAGTTATCTTTAATAAATGTGAATAAATCTCAATCATTGAAAGTAAAGAGATGAATGGTTGAAATTTTGTGTAAGTGTGGTGTGTAAGACTTCGTGTGTAAGTGAATCCCTACTCATATACGTATGTATATTCATACATATAGACATATGTAATGAACTAGTCTTTTAGGTTCAAAATGATGCCTTTACATGAAGAATCGCCCGGCTGCCCAGATTGGTCTCTCCCAATGGTGACCTATCCATCTCACACACTTGCGGAATGATCACAAGTCCATAAGTGGAAATGGAGCAACACAAGCTAGTATTGGCTAAATTATTTTTTTATTATTTCACAGTAACCATTCAATAGAAATTTTTTTTTTTCCCTATATAAAATCGTGACAAAAGGTTATAGAGGGGTGTGGCTATGGCTACCCACAATTTTATTAAATACGGGGTTATGGCCTTGGAACACCATCCACTACCCACAGCATTATTATATTTCTCCCTCTCCTTTCCTTTTCTTTCTTTTATCTCAACACATAAAATAATACGCTTTACTTTTCTAGCTAAACATAAAATCAAAACATTAGGTATTATTTTAAAAAAAAAAAAAAAGGTCCTGTTTGGTTTCTAAGAAAGAGAAGGGAAATCAAAATCTCCGATTTTACTTACAAGGAGGAACCGATCGATATGAAACTCCCATGAGTCAGAGAGGAGATTGAGGGAACCAACTGGAGGAAGACAGGAGCGATGTTGCGCCGTTCCATCATCGGTGCCTCCAATCCGAATTTACCCGGGACGGGTTCCGCTGAAGGCTTAGCGAGCAGGATTTTGGGAGCGGAAGGATTCGATGAGGCATTTGAAGATCCCATTCCGCCGGCGGAACCTGCCATTCGCAGAGTTCGAAGCACTGTTGTTTTCGTAGGAAGTGTATTCCGAACCGCTTAGACGCTCGACCAATGCCCATCGTGCCATTTTGATATGGCGAAACCACCGAAGGACTTCTCTTTTAGATTAATGATCATTTTGGTACCTGAACTTTTTACTAGTTGTCCTTATTGTGTCCTTGGGCTGCAAACTAATTAATGATTTTCACCTTTTTGGTATTGAAAAAAAAGTAAAACCCAATTTTGATTTAAATCATAACACATTTATTTTTTATTAGTTTATTTTAAAACTAGTTGTTTCTTGTTCATGCATTGCATAGGTTATTTTTTAATTTTTATATTAAAAGTTAAATTTTATATTAGTTTTATTAATTATTAAATTTTATAATAATTTATTAGTAAAAAATTATAATTAAATAATTAAGGTTAGATTAAAAATTACTAATTGTCAATAATACTTTTTCAAAAAATTATGCAAAACCAAATTAAAAAGAAAGGATATTAAGAGAATTGAAAAAACCTAGTTGAAGGATGCTATACCATTATGCTTATAAAATTTCTACATGTAGTTTAAAATTAGCTTTCGTAATTTTTATTTCATAATCCAATTATATATGCTCTTTTTTTATTATACTATTATTTCATTTAAGGTTTAATTGACTTTATTCCTAGTTAAAGGTCCTTATGCATGAAATTTGGTTTGTGTTTGGTTGCATAACCATCAGTTAAATATTTAACATCAGAATTGTAAGGTAAATGAAAAAATGAAAAAAAGAAAAAGAAAAATTAAAGGTTGGTCCTTAAACTTCATTTTTCTACCTTTCTTATTTCTAATTAAAGGACCTAACATTTTCCATTCCCCTTATGCATTTTCCCCATTTAATACAATAATAAAAGCATTCTTAATTTTAAGGTAAAAGACTAAAAGTGTCATAGAATAAGGTGAGGAACTAAAACCTACAGATTTATTAAGATAAAGAGCTAAAGTAAGTTTTAACTCAATTTTCCTAAGCTTTGCAAAAGTTTAGAATTTGCAATCAACAAGGAGATGGGCATGAAACTATTCAATGATGATGATAACCCAATCGACGATATATCTGATATGAACTACGCCAACCTGTGATGAAACCCGTAAACAAGATAAGGCACCAAGACCATTTTTAAGACAAATTCGAGAGGATGGAATCACAACTCGTTACCTATGATGAGGTAAGAACCTTGGTATGGAAAAGATGCCACAATCAACTATGGAAGGGCTAACTAATAAGTCGACGATGAATGCCACAAATAATTCTAATAAATTTGAAAGTTGTTCAAAGAACCAAAGAGAATTTGTTCTCCCAATGCTGATGAATAATCATCCCTTCTACAATTAGAATAATCATCCCTTCTACAATTAGGATGATGAGAACTCCAAAGAAAACAAAGAGGCTTACAGCACAACAAGGGATTTCTAAACTCTAGGAAAGCTAAATCAGGTTTATATAATAAGACCTTGACCCGTTGTTTATATCACAACAAGAACCAAAGGTAAAAACGTAGGCTTATTATCTATGCCACAACAAGAACCAAAAGTATAAAGTTGGTTGACGCCATACCCTCGAACAATTAAGAACGAGAGTGATAAGTTAGATTAGAATGCCACAAGAATAATCTTGATAAATTCTATAAAGTTCTGAAATGAACCAAAGAGAAAAGTCTCTCAAAAACTCAGATTCAATAGCTTCCCCAATTAGGGTTACAAGTCCTTTAAATAGGGAAAAATAATTCTAATCAGAATAGGAAACTAATATTTTAGGCGCTAATCCTAATAACCACGAATTAGGCCTCAAATAAATGAATGTTCAACTCAAAATAATACAAAAAACGTAAAAATCACTAAAAGTAACTTAAAGTAACATAAAGCAACATGAAATATCAGTTTGTTACAAATTGCGACAAAATTGTGGAATTTTGACACAAATTGTGTAATTTAGCATAAATGACCTCAACTAAGCTTCTTTTGAAACTGAATGATGTTTACCATGCCTTAATAATCATCAAAGTTTCAATTTACTTGTTGCATGTTGTTATCAACCCAGATTTGCTTAATAAGGCCATTTAAAGCTTTTTGCATCTTCCTAACTCTTAACTCTCGTGACTGGACCTCTTGGAATGTGTAATGGATCTCTTGACGTGACACATGTGGGGTCATCTTGATTCAATTAAGCTTCTCTTGAATTTGAATGATGTTTACCATGGCTTGATAATCATCCAAGTTTCGATTTACTTGTTGCATGTTGTTATCAACCCATATCTACTCAATAAGGCCATTTAAAGCTTTTCGCATCTTCCTAGCTCTAATTTTCGTGACTAGACCTTCTAGAATGTGTAATGGATCTCTTGACGTGGTACATGTGCGGTCATCTTGATTCCCATCATTCCCTCTCTCCTCAAAAGGATTTGTCCTCAAATCGTTACCTACATCAAAAGGAGAAAGTTCAGAAACATTAAAAGTAACGCTAACATTATACTCACCAAAAAGCTCCAACTTGTATGCGTTGTTATTTATCCTTGCAATCACTTGAAATGGTCCATCGCCTTTTGGTTGCAACTTAGAACGCCTTTGTGTAGGGAATCGCTCCTTCCGCATATGCACCCAAACTCAATCTCCAGTTCAAACACAACTTTCTTGCGCCCTTTGTTGGCTTGATTTGAATATTGCTCAATTCGTTACTCTATGTTTTGTCACACCCTCTCATGTAGTTACTTAACCACTTCAGCTTTCTTTTTCCCCTCCAAGCTAGCTTGTTCATCAATGGGTAATGGCAATAAATCCAAAAGGTTTAGTGGATTAAAACCATACACAACTTCAAATGGTGAATATTTAGTTGCTGAATGGACGCTCCGATTATAAGCAAATTCAACATGTGGCAAACATTTTTCCTAATTCTTCAAGTTTTTTTGAATAATAGAACGCAATAAGGCTAACAACGTCCTATTAACTACTTCTGTTTGTCCATCAGTTTGTGGATGACAAGTAGTCAAAAATAATAGCTTAATTCTCAACTTTCCCCACAAGGTCTTCCAAAAGTAACTCAAGAACTTAATATTGTGATAAAAAAACAATAGTCCTCGGAACACCATGTAAACGAACAACCTCCTTGAAGAACAGATTAGTAATATTGGTTGCATCGTCAGTTTTACGACATGGAATGAAGTGTGCCATCTCTGAGAACCTATCAACAATAACAAAAAATAGAATCGCGGCCTTTTTTCAACCTTGGTAAGCCCAAAACAAAATCCATAGATATATCAACTCAAGGTTCAATAGGTATGGGTAAAGGAGTATACAAACCATGTGGTAAAACTCTAGATTTTGCTTATTTACATGTTACGCACCTTTTACATATCCTTTCAACATCATGTTTCATATGTGGCCAAACGAAGTGATTGTTTAGAATATCTAAAGTTTTCCTAACTCCAAAATGTCCCATTAAGCCACTCGCATGTGATTCCCTTACTTAATGAATAGTTAGGCACACAAAATTGATTTGCCTATAAAACTTACTAGAAGTTGCCTTTTCACATGCATTAAACACGTTAGCAAAATCTGGATCATTAGCATATAATTCTTTAATGTGCTCAAATCCCAATAACTTTGCACTGAGAATTGAGATAAGTGTGAGGTAATGCATTAGCCGCAATGTTTTCTTTTCCTTACTTATACTTGATCACATAGGGAAATGTCTTAAGGAATTCCACCCACTTAGCATGTCATCTATTCAAATTACCTTGTCCCTTGAGGTGCTTCAACGACTCATGACCAGTATGTATCACGAACTCTTTAGGCCAAAGATAATGCTTCCATGTTTCTAAGGCCCTGACCAATGCGTACATCTGTTTGTCATATGTAGCATAGTTAAGTGCTGCACCAATCAATTTTTTGTTGAAAAATGCAATAGGCCGTCGCTCTTGCATCAAAACAACACCAATGCCAATACCTAATGCATCACATTCAATTTCAAAAGTATTAGTAAAATCATATAAAGGAAGTAATGGTGTAAATATTAAATTCTCTTTAATCAAATTGAAAGCTTTCTCCTGTTCACTTTCCCACTTAAATTCGATACTTTTTATCACGATTTTAGTCAACGAAACTGCAATTGTGCTGAAGTCCTTGATGAATCTCCGGTAAACACTTACTAAACCATGAAAACTACACACCTGATAAATATTCTTAGGTGTTGGCCATTCTTTAATAGCCTTAATCTTTTCTTCGTCTACTGCAATTCCATTAGATGAAACAACATACCCTAAAAAGACAATCTGATTTGTGCAAAAGGAACACTTTTTAAGGTTAGCAAACAACTTTTCTTTTCTCAAAACCTCTAATACCATTCGTAGATGCTCAATATGATTAGTTAAACTCTTACTATATATCAAAATGTCATCAAATTAAACAAACACAAATTTGCCAATGAAAGCACGTAGAACATGATTTATTAATCGCATGAATGTACTAGGCGCATTAGTTAATCTAAATGGCATAACTAACCATTCATATAAACCATATTTCATTTTAAAGGCTGTTTTCCGTCCATCACCTTTCTTCATCCTAATCTGATGATACTCACTTTTTAAATCAATTTTAGTGAATATGCAAGAACCATGCAGTTCATCTAACATGTCATCTAATCTAGGAATAGGGTGATGATACTTTACAGTGATTTTGTTGACAGTGCGATAATCAATGCGCATACACCAAGTCCCATCCTTCTTAGGCACAAGTAACACTGGAACTATTGATGGGAATCAAGACAACAACATATCTACTACGTCATGTGATCCGTTACACAGCCAAGGAGGTCCAGTCACGCGAGCTAGGGCTAAGAAGATGCGTGAAGCTTTAAATGGCCTTATTGAGCAGATCTGGGTTGAAAACAACATACAACAAGCAAATCGAAGCTTGGATGATTATCAAGGCATGGTAAATATCATTCAGGTTCAAGAGAAGTTTAGTTGTGGTCATTTGCACAAAATTACACAGTTTGCGTCAAAATGGCACAATTTTGCTGCAATTTTTAGCAAACTGATATTTCGTGTTATCTTATATCATTTTTAGTGGTTTTCACGTTTTTTGTATTATTTTTGGGCTAAACATTTGTTTATTTGAAGCCCAATTCGTGGTTATTAGGTTTAGGACTTAGGGTTTTAGTTTCCTATTCTGATTAGGATTTGTTTTCTCTATTTAAAAGGCTTGTAACCCTAATGGGGAGGA